AGAATTAAAGATAAAAAGAAAATTATATAGTTTTTACTGATCATGATTGCAAAAATAAGGACAAATGGGCTTTCTCCTATACTGTCAGGTAAAGTACACAATAGTACAGCCGTTTTGAAGAGCAACTTTTCAGTATCTATCAAAGATTAAACTGTGCATACCCCATAACCCCATAATTCCATTTCAATTAACCACTCTTACAAGAACAATGGAATAAGTTCATAAAGGGGAATGTACACATAATATTTATTGCTACACTGCTTATAAAAGTAAAAAAAATTAAGTGTCCATTAAGAGTGAAATGGTTAATCATCAGGGGAAGGCAAATCAAAACCATAGTAAGATGTGCGCCTGGGTGGCACAGTCAGTTGAGCATCTGACTCTTGGTTTCTGCTCAGGTCATGATGTCATCATGGTTGTGAGATCGGGCCCCATGTCTGGCTCTGGGCACAGCGTAGAGTCTGCTTGAGAAACTCCCCCTCTCACTCTGCCCATTCAGTTCATGTGGATGCACACTCTCTCTCATTAAATAAATAAATAAATAAATAAATAAATAAATAAATAAATAAATAAATAAATAAATAAATAAATCTTTTTAAAAACCGCACACAAAACACGATAAGATTATCACCTCACAGTGAATGGCTATTATCAAACAGTTAAGATACATGTGTTGGTAAAGATGTGGAGAAAAGGGAATGCTTGTGCACTGTTGTTGGGAATGTAAGTTGATGCAGCCACTAAGGGAAACAATACAGATGTTCCTCAAAGATTAAACACAGACCTATCATATGATCTAGCAATTCCACTTCTGTGTATTTATCTAAAGAAAACAAAAACACTAAGCAAAAAGAAATCTGAACCCACTGTGTACAATAGCCAAGATATGGAAACAACCTAAGTGTCTACCAATGGGTGAATGGATAAGTGTGAAATTTTATATATATATATATATATATATATATATATATATAAATATATATATAAATATATATGCTATATATGTATATACACACACACCAAGTCACTTGACCAACCCACTTTTATTTATATATATAAATATATAAATATAAATATAAATATATATATAAATAAAAGTATCCTGCCATTTGTGATGAGGATGGATCTTGAGGACATTTTGCTAAGTGAAATAAATCATACAGAGAAAGACAAATACCATAATGATCCTACTTCTAGGTGGAATCTAAAAACAAAATAAAACAAAACTGAGCTCAGAGATACAGAGAACAGATTGATGGTTGTCAGAGGTAGATGGCGGGATTTAAATAAAAGAGTAAAATGATTCATTCCTATGATGGAATACCAACCATGTAGTAGTTAATTGCAACTGAGGTAGAGTTACATATACTAATATGAACAAATCTGAAGGAGGGGGGGAACAAGTCTTATCAATCATAGAATAAATATAGCATTATCACTTTTAAAAAACAGAGCGCTTTTGGATGTTATATGGAAGTTCTGAATCACTGTGCTATACACCTGAAACTAACATTACACTGCATGTTAACTAACTAGAATTTAAATAAAAACTTTTAAAAATTACCTGTATCACATAACAAAGATATATATTTATATAAGCACAAAAAACTCTAGAAGATGCAAACCAAAGCATTACTACTCTGAGCAGGGGTACAAGATAAGCAGCAACTTTGCTTCTTTATATACACATTAAACAAAAGAAAGCACATTGTTTTATAAAATAAAGGAACAGGTCAAAGTATAGTTGATCCCTGAATGGCACGAGTTTGAACTGCATGGGTCCACTTAAACGTGGATTGTTTTCGATAAATACAGTACAGTACTGTAAATGAATGTATCTTCTCTTTTGATTTTAATAAATTTCCTCTTGCTTACCTATTGTAAAAATACAACATATAGCCCAGGTAACACACAAAATACATGTTAACCAACTGTTAAAGTTATCAGTAAAACTTCCAGTCAACAGGAGGCACTTACTAGTTTTGGAGAAGTGAAAAGTTTTATGTGTTTTTTCAACCGTACAGGGGATCAGCATGCCTAACCCCCATGTTGTTCCAGGATCAAATGTAGTTTTTATGTTACCCTTCAAAAGTTTCTATGCTTCTACACCAGGGGTCAAAGCAGAAACTGAGATGCCTACAGGGCTAGGTGGATGATATCAACAGGGGTGCTAGGGAAGGGTGACAGTAGAGAATAGGAAACGATAGGCACTATGGTTAACTGGAGCCTGCCAGATGCTACTGTGTGGGAATGTAAGCCCAGTGTTGACAGACCTCCTCCTAGCACTTTAAGGACAAATTCCAGATTTTCACGTGAAATCTTATTTTCAAATGCTACCCACTAAGCCAAAAACTACTTCAAGTACTAGGTGGGAAAAGTAGAACTTCAAAAGGCAGTATACTGTAATGGTTAAGAGCACAACTTTACAGCCTGTTCTGGGTCACATCCTGGCTCTGCCCTACAGGTGTATATAGGATCTGAACCAAGTCACTTGACCAACCCACTTCCATATAGCAAGTATTCAGTTAATGCTAGCTACAAGTCTTTTTGCTACTGTTGTGTTGTCTTCATGGGATGCAGTTCTCCACTGTGAGCTGATGAATTCTGTCCTCTGATCTTCTCCATCTTACATCAGATTTGACTCCATTGGCTCACTGTGGTCAAAAATAACATAGAACAACTGCCTATTTCCCCTTAAGTATGCATGCTTCTTTTAGAAAACAGAAAACCTATAGGCAAATGAGCAAGGATATGCTTATTAGCTTGCCACTTAATTAAAAAGTCTGTGCAACTTTACTAATGAAATCAGACAAGTAATGACTGAAGTAAATAAAACAATTAACTACTATAATTGTGTTAATGAACACTGATCTGGAAGGCAGGGCTAGGCGAGTACTATTGTCTACATAGTGTTTCCAATGGGGCTCACTCAGAATTGCACTGGTGCTGGTCTGGCTACACAGGCAGCTTGTTGGAGGTTTGTTAATGTCAGTACTCATGTCCTACCTCAAGAGATTCTGATTCGCCCTATATCCCAAAAAGGCACAGGTCCCTGAATTTTCAGAAACTCCCTGGGTAGTGCTGATGTGCAGCCAGGTTTGGATACCATTAGCACAGTTAAAAGTGTAGCATCCCAGAATCCTAGGTTTGAATCCCTCCAACAATCTATAGCTCCTACGATCTGGGGTAAGTCATTTTACTCTCCTTATTTGTAAAATACAGAATTAACACCACCACTTCACTCATTTGTTGTGCCTGGTATACAGTAAGACTTGATAAATAGTAGCTGTTGTTACCATATTCCCTAGTTTCTAAAAGCTTTGTCCACTCTGAATATATAAGGCAACCTCTTCAGGGTTTCTTGTGCATACAGAAAAAATTAGCATAATTATTCCTGGATCATCAAACAAACAATATTTTATTGGCCAATAAACTTATAATAATTACATCATCATTTGTAATTCAAAAGAAAGTAATTCATAAAATAATCAAAAGTCTTCCTTAGGATTTGAGGTAATATGCACGGTAACATGCAGTGAGGCAACTAGATCTTTTTATACACTACACTAAATAAATATTTTATCTTTCTTTTCTTCTGAAAATGTATAAATTTCATAAGGTAAAGCAAAAAGGAAGAAGCATAAAATAACCATATCATAATCTGTGGCTCAAATATTTATGGATATTTAACATTTTAAATGCACAAAACACAAAGGACTGTACAACATAAAGAGTGAACTCTATGTAAACTTAAAAAAAAATCAGCTAGGACACTGTGGAATCTCAGGACGGAATGCAGACTGAGATGAAGTAACTCTAAGTATATTACAAACATATGATATTATGTCACTGAGGAGAGTGAAGGAAAGAGGTGCTGACCTAACTCTGGAAAATTCTGTGGGGACTCTCTAAGACCAAAGACAAAAGTAATTGTACTGAAATGCCGTACTCTAGTTCACAAATTTACCTTTAGATGGGTCCTGGTTAGCAGTTCTGAAACTACTTTACATGTATCCTCCGGCTGTACCAATATGTGAATGAATGTAGTAATGGGAGCCAGGTTTCTCACCACAAGAGAAGAAATTACAAATAAGCAGAGGAGGAAGGCTAGGATGAACCTGGTAATGCTAGATTAGGCCAGAGACATCAGTGTGAAATCAGGTTTAATTTTCACAGACAGGTAAGCAAGGAGACAGATGATCAATTAGTCAACTGATCAACTGTCAAGCTGTGCATACACACACATGGGATGAAGGACATACCTCTATTTTCTAACTCTATGACTGAGTGGGCCTGGAAGCAATGATACCCAACAGTAACATCCAGTGCCCAGATCTTCATCTCTAAATACCATACTCCCATAAAAGGAACCGGAGCTCCTCAGGGAAATGGCTGATTTCAGGACTGCAACAGGAAAAATAGAGGATGATGTCACAAATAAGAAACTGCTCAAAAGCAACACCATACACAAAAAGATGCAAGCATGTCAAAAGGACACAGAAGGAAAGAGATCCAGTGACGAAGCAGGAACAATGTGAGCAACAATGTAAGGAGCAATACTCCTAGATTATAACCCAAAGAAAAAATAAGTATTTATGACTTTCCAGTGAGGTAAGTAAATGGGAGAGAAGAGGTAAATCTTTCATACAGAATAATTCTAAATAATTCATGTAGTATTCCCTTCCTCTGGAGTAGAGAGACACTGGCCTCCCCTTGAATGTGGGTTGCATTTAGTGACTCACTTCAGAGAACTAAGCATGGGAAGGAAAACTGCTAACTCATGGAGGAACCTGGCAGACACCACTTTCAACGCGTGACCCAGGTTAACACCACCAGGGACAATATGATGCCATAGGGCGTTGCAACTCTGTGGCATTCCTGCACAAGCCCAGGCCCTCAGTCTCATCTTGAGAAGACACCAGACCTATTCAAATTCCAGGACACTCTACAAGCCATCCAGACCATGACAACCAAGGGAAGACTAAGAAACTACCACATACCAGAGGAGACCGAGAAGACATGACTAAGTGCAAAGTGGTGTCCTTGACTGGGTCCTGGAACAGAAAGAGGACATTAGCGCAAAAACAGAAATCCAGTAACGTCCGCAGTTTAGGTAACAGTATTTTATACCAATGTTAATATATTAACTTTGACAAATACAGCAGAGTTAAGTAAAAAGCTGGATAAAGAATGTATGAAAACTCTGTACTATCTTTGCAAGTTTTCCATAAATCTAGAATTATCTCAAGATTACAGGTTTTTAAATTTAAAGATTTTGAAATATAATAAAATTTTAGAGAAAAATTGCTTTATAAAGCATGTTTATAAGCCAAAGGGAATTAAATATAAGACCATAAGCACTAATTACAAGTAACTTAGTTATAAAGAATAAAAATACAAAGACATAGACAAGAAAGCTCAAACGTCCTAAGTATTTTTCCTCCTTCCTACAAATCCTTCAACTATATTCATTACTATTATCACATAACCTAAAAAAAAGCGCAAAAAAAGATGTGTATTGAGTACAATCTGTGGTGCCAGCTGGTCAAGATTCTTCTATCAAGAATGAAAATAAAATTGTCCTTAAACCAAAAGGCTATACACTGCTTAAAATGTATGCCCTTCAAATGTAGGAGTATTTGGCAGAGATTAAAAGGTTAAACACATTTTAAAAATAAGAACAGAATAGTCTAGCCCATACTGACTGTTAGCTTCAAAAGAAAAAAAAAAAGTTTAACAGAACCTCTAAAAAATTAATAGTTTATATTTGGCTTCTATAGCATTTTACCATTTATACAAACACATTTCAGGCCTCACAACAACCCTGTGAGGTAGGTAGGAAAGTATATAGTCATTTTACAGATGTGATAACTTAGGGTCAGAAAGATTAAATCATTTACAAAGTCATGTGGTGAGAAAGACCCACACCAAGGAATGGAATCCAGTTACTTGATTTCAAAACTGTGGCTCTTTCTCCAACATACTCAAAAGACTGAAACAAACCCAGAAGGAAAGTCTACATGTGTTCATACACATACAAGTACACACCTCCCCTTCTAGAAGTTATGTCCCTGACATGGTAAGAAAAAATAAGTCTAACTTTCCCACTGAGTTAATTGTAGTGTTGGAGCCTCATCTTGTATTCATTTAGATTGAATTTCTACTTCAGCTCTCAGTTACTCTTTTGTTATATGACAAACATGACATTTTATAAAACAAAAAGCAACAGGGGCGTCTGTACCTCATTTTTCTATACAAAAAATTCTACAAGTCTTAAATTCACATACTTTTTTTAATAAAATTTTATTTATTTATGATAGTCACAGAGAGAGAGAGAGAGAGAGAGAGAGAGAGAGAGAGGCAGAGACACAGGCAGAAGGAGAAGCAGACTCCATGCACCGGAAGCCCGGTATGGGATTCGATCCCGGGTCTTCAGGATCACGGCCTGGGCCAAAGGTAGGCGCCAAACCGCTGCGCCATCCAGGGATCCCCTAATTCACATACTTTATGAGCTCTGAATCTATATATCTTTTCTTTTCTATAATAAGGATAACCTGTTTACTTAAATCACAACTGGTCAAAACAAAGGAATGCAACTTTGACAGGAATTCAAAACGATGGACTACCTACCACCATCTATTTTCAACTTGACTTTTTTTTTTTCAACTTGACTTCTAATAGAAAATGTAGCGCACTCATTTCCAATCTTTTTCTTGTTCCAACACATTTCAGGCATGCAAAGCTCTACCATTAGTAGCAATGGTTCATTGTCACAGAGGGTCCCCAGGCGAGAGGAAGACAATTTGGGAGAGGGAGTTTAAAGCAGTTGTAAGAAGCCCCCATATACCTCCCAGGGCCCTTACTCTCGTGAGAGTCACTGAATCAGAGATGGGGTAATACTGCCAGAGCTGTTTCATTCATATTACTTCAAAAATAGTGCTTCACAATAAAAATCAATCATGGTCCCTGTCTTGTCCACATGTGTTCTCATTGCAACTGAACCACTCCAGCCAAAAATCTAGTTCAAAGTCAGTCATTCACCATCTGAAGTATATGGCAAATCCTCAATCTGTGTCTAGTTTTGTTCTACTGATTTTGAAACCTGCACTATAATAAAATTGTATGAAATTGTTATGGACTAAAAGGGGAAAAAGAGTCATTTGCTCTAAAAAAAAAAGCACAGAAAAAAATCATTCAGAGTTAAAATACTGTTCAAAAAGACTCATATATAAACTCACTATTAAGACTTGTAATTCAAATAATACTCAAAGTCAACTAACTTCCTATAGCTACAAAGTACAGACTCCTTTTGCAAACATCTTGCTATATTATGTGAACCCCTTCTCCTAGGGGTTCATGGTCTAGTTCATGAAAAATAAAAGTCTTATAAACTCAGATTCTCTTCCAATGTTATCCATTATATATATATATATATATATATATATATATATATATAAATGCCTTCTGTTTTATCACCTTTCACTCCAAAGCAAGCCAGATTGTGTAGTAAACTGAAGTTTAAAAAATAAAAATGAAAGGTGCACAAATATGTATGTAGATAGCTACTAAAATTTAGAATTGCGACATAGAACAGGACAAAGGATCTCAAAGATGTGGGTGCTTTTGCTTTTAGCCAGATGAACATGCAAACTCACCACAAAAGAAAAAGTGTTCTTCTTCCTCTGAAGAACAGTATCCAACAGTGTGCCCTCTCTAGTTTTAACACCCTTCACAGTCAAGAATTTCTGAGACATCAAGCTATCAAAATAAAATGTGTATTGTTTTCAAGCTGCTTTTTCTAGGAGGCATACTCCTCTCACAAAAATCTTCACATATTGAGGCATGGATTTGATAATTAAGGCTTCCCTTAAACTTCTATCATTTATACTAATCACAAACTTTGCTAAATATGTAAACTCTTTTTTCCTTTGATCATTCTTATAATTCTCTACAACTCACATCTCTTTAAAATACAGTGGCCAAATAGCCTCTTGGCCTGTGGCTAAGATCATGCATAGTATCTGTTCTTATCAGTTTAAAATACAGTGGCCAAAACTGGACATGCTACTCAAAAATAAGCTAGTACAAAGAATAGAGAAAAGAACGAGATCCATGACCTCGGATGCCATATTCATTTAAAAATATTTCAGCATCATGTTGACTTTTTTACTGACTCATATTCAGTCTGTGGTCACCCATGATTGTGGCTTTCTTCCCTCTTTATTTATACCTAGTCTGTCCTTCTCCATCCTATATTTATATGGCTGGATTTTTTTTCCTCCACACACCACCTTACACTTAATTCACTAAATTCATACAGTTTTCAAAGATCCATTTCCCCATTTATTACAGTGCTTTATAGAAATGTTTAAGTCTGCAAGTTACAGTAACTATCACTTACATCTTAAAAATATCAAGACTACGAAAGTACATAATAATCAACACAACACACTGTAATAATGGAACTGAAGACAAAACCATACTAATGCCGACCAGAAACCTACCTCCACTGGATGGTCACTCTTTACCAGTGCTATACGTGCCCTTTGCAAGGAACCGTCCATCAGCTTGTGAAGTCTTAAAATTAACTTTCTTAACCCCATTTGCTTCAGGGCTTTGTCTACAAATGGCCTATAAATAGAAGTCAGACAATGTCTACTAAAGCCTGCCTCTGTGCTGCAGTCTGGTGCTCCCCAGCCAAAAGAATCATCCTCAGACTCAAGCCTCTCAAGCTTCTTCAGTACACAGTCCTGTGAATGGATGCTGAAATTGGTGTCAATGGGCTGTGTGGGCTCTGGTGCCCTTGGACCTGAGAGTTGTTCTTCTTCACTCTCATCCGTACTACTTTCCAGCTCTTTCAAGTCCCCTTCTGTGTCATCACCCTCATCTTCTGGCTCATTGCCTTTGGACGATCGAGGAGAAGGGATTTCAAACACTGGCCAGCCAATGTCTGATAAATTCTTGATGCCCAAAACAGTGCCCATAATCCTTAACTTCTGATTTAAGTCCTTTGTGATGTTTAACCACAAACAGAGTGCCTGCACCCTGTCCTGGAAGTCTTTTGCAGCATATTTTTCATAATCCTTTTGAAGAGCCTGCAATGATGGATAAAGTGCTTCCATGTACTCCAGCAGCTCCATTATCCGCTTTACCTGCTCAAATGACACCCTCTGGCGTTGGAGATGCTCATGATATGTTGAGTAACCCACAATTTTTGTTCCAGGAGGGGCTCTGCGCTGCCCTTCTACTGAAGTACCATTAAAACTAGCTCCATTTCTAACAAAGGCAAAGCTCCCATAATTAACTTTGAAAGTAAGGATTTCATTAATAATATCAGGGATGGCTTGACGGGCTGTATATAAAAAGAGGTCCTGGTCATTAATGGTCCGTCCTGCGTGCCAGGCTTGTAGCTCTAACCAGATCAGTTCATTAGATCGGTTAAACCAGAAAGCAGATGTATTTTCCTGTCCTCTTTGCTCCCTGTCCTTCTTCTTTGAGACTGAGGTAAGCTTTAGCAGAAGTCGTAAAGTCTCAAAAAACTTTAAGCGATCTGCTGGACAGTCAGTCCTAGAAGTCTGGCGTGCAGTTCTGGGTATAGGCATGGGCACAGATACCGGAAGCTTAGCATTGCTGCAGCCAAGACTGAGGTAAGGCTTATTAAGATCCACATCTGGAATTGATTTTTTGGGCAAAGACCCACCCACTGAGTCCAACATGAACGAGCACTGCACATTTTTCTTATGATCACGCTCTGTTGTCCTAAGAGCAGCTCGAATCTTCTTCTCCTGCTTATAGCTATATTCTTCCACATTCTCCATGGTTTTTCCAGTGTCTTTGTGTGGAGGCTGGTTTGGTGCATTCATTTTTTCTAGTAAAAAGAAATAAACAGAACACTGGGTTAGCTCTAAAACATGAAGCTACTCAGTATCTTCACTAAAACTGATTCACATTTACTTATTCTTCAGGCTATTACTGGAGAAAAAAATCATAACCATAGGCTGAAAATTAAAAGATTCAAGATACATACAACATTTCTCTCTAAATTTCTAAAAAGATGTTATCCATTTCCCCACTTTATTACACTTGCTCTGCTCTCTACTATTCTCCACTATAATCTAAAACAAGTTGTTTCTCTACATTAAAGTTGCAGTTACCCAGTGAGCAAAATTGCCACAAGTTACCACCCCCGACATAAGAAGGGAAAAACATTACAGATCTGAGAAACGTGGTTTAGAAAACAAATCCCATCCCTGCCTCTGCCCTGAACTAAATGTACTAACTCAGAGCAGACCACGGAAGTTTCCTGGGTCACTTCTCTCATTTGTAAAATGAAGTAGATTGAGCAAAAACTCTTTAAGGCACTCTCAGATTATTCTCATTTAAAAAAATGAAAGAGGTAATAGGCAAAAATGTTTATTTATTCTATTCTTTGTTTTCTTCTTTCTCACAAATGAACAATAATATTTTAAATTTAGCATTAAAAAAACTGAAGACATAGAGACTAATTCAGTGTCATTTGCCTGAACTGGCATATAAAATCATTCAAAATTAATGCAAAGAAAGCAAACATCACACTTTCTTGTCAAACAATTGTAGAAGGTTCTATTAATTTAATTCCCAAGCTTTCAAATGAACACACACACCCCTTCCTTCCTGTTTGGCATTTCGGCCAATATCAATGACCTCTGCCTTACTGAAATCCCCTCATCCTGTTACTTTCTAGATACAACAGTCTGGGTTCTTTTCTGCTTCCCAAGTCACACCTTTTCAAATTCCCTCCTTGGAACTTGGCTCACTCCAGAAAATGCTGTGTCTTAGAGTTCTGCTCTTTGATCTCTTCTGCCTTACTCTCTCCCTCCCTGGGTAATCTCTGCTTCCACTTCATATACAAATAATGCCCAAACCTAAAACACCGTCCCAGTCTCCCCTCCACACCCAAGATATACTTCATGTCACTGACTCTAGGACACATGCTCTGGATTTTAAGAACTCTGAAATTAAAATAGATTTTAAAATTGATATGAATAAGCTTTAAGAATATATTCACTAGTAGGTTTCATTTATATTTTCTTTTATACACACATACATAAGTAACAAGTAGTTCTTTAAAATCTGTATCTAGGGATCCTTGGGTGGCGCAGTGGTTTGGCGCCTGCCTTTGGCCCAGGGCGCGATCCTGCTTCTCCCTCTGCCTGTGTCTCTGCCTCTCTCTCTCTCTCTCTGTGACTATCATAAATAAATAAATAAAAAATTTAAAAAAAAAATCTGTATCTAAATATCAAGAAGTATAAAAGTGTTCTTTTAGTAAATAAAAAATAAAAATTCTAAGTATAAAAAAACACTGTCATCAATTGTAAGCATTTTTCTTCTTAAAACATAGTATGCCTTAGATCTGGTAAAACAGGGCATATCTATATGGGTTACAAACTGTATATCCAAAATTAATTCACTAAAGAAATCCTGTTGTGTTTTTTTTAAGATTTTATTTATTTATTCATAAGAGACAGAAAGAGAGAGAGAGAGAGAGAGAGAGAGAGAGAGAGAGAGAGGCAGAGACACAGGCAGAGGAAGAAGCAGGCTCCATGCAGGGAGCCTGACATGGACTCGATCCTAGGTCTCCGGGATCAGGCCCTGAGCTGAAGATGGCACTAAACTGCTGAGTCACCCGAGCTGCCCAGAAATCCTGTTTAAAACCAATTTACCTTCTAATCAATTTAAAAAAAAATTTTTTAGATTTTATTTATTTATTAGAGAGGGCGACAGAGTGCGAGTAGAGGGCAGAGGGAGATGGAGCAGCAGGCTCCCCACTGAGCAAGGAACCAAATGCCAGGACTTGATCATGATCTGAGCCAAAGACAGACATGTAACCAACTGAGCCACCCAGATACATTCCCCCCGTTTTAAAGATTTTTATTTGAGAGGGTTAATCAGTTTAAATTAAAATAGTTTTAAAAGAAGAATTTTTAGGTCCGTCAGTTAAGTATCTTATTCTTGATTTCTGCTCAGGTCATGATCTCAGGGTCATGAGACTGAGCCCCACATTGGGGTCTGCTCTGAGCATAGTACTTGCTTAGGGTTCTCTCTCTCCCTCTCCCTCCTCTGCCCCTGTCCTTCCCCTGTTTACACAGGCACGAGTGCACACTAGTTCTAGCTCACTCTCGCTCAAAAAAAAAAAAAAAAAAAAAAAAAGAAATTAAAACAAATATTCCTAAGAGGAATTCCTAAGTCCAACTTGACTTATATTTATTTTCTTTGTGGTCCATCAAAAAAGATTTTATCTATAGGGATTTTTGCTATATTTTAATATAAAAACTGTTACTTTTTAATTACCAATATTTTTTAAATGATGGAATTTTTATCCTTAGTTTTAATCTATCTTACTTCTAAAGGTCTTAAAACCTTTTATGCAGTCCATTCAAGAAATTTCTTCACAAATCTGCTTCTAGCTACAAATGCCTATCATTATTCATTTATTAAAAAAAATGAATTTTTTTCATTTTGGCCTTTGTCTCCTCTTTGATGTTTTCTTTAACTGTGTTCTTTTTATTTTCTGTAACTGTATACTTTATACTTTTATTGACTTAGCACATACCTACCATTTATTCATCTCTACTTGGTAAAACAATGGTTATTTGAAAGCAAAGCTAACAAATGCTTCCAAATTTAACTCCACTATATTTTATTTTTCAAGATACGAATTTATACTATACTTTGTCCTATGAAATACATAATGACATACATGGTATCACTGTTTAAGACTAGAGGTAAAAACAATGAGTTTAGTTTTAATACACTAAATTTGAGGAGCCTATAGGAAGTCATATTGGCGATGTCCACAGGTACATAATGTGGATCTTGAGTTTAGGAGAGAAATCCAAAGATACAGACTTGGCAGTCATCAGTGTATACATATGTTATTTAATACTAGGAGAGTACATAAGAATATCCAAGAAACATGTACAGAAGAGAGGCAATGCAGACCTAGAAGAGAATGTTGTCTTGGTTTTGAATCAAAGAAATCAAATATTTATGTAACAAAAAATGATGCTTTTAGCTTAGGATTTAGGATCATAACAAAAATTTATAAAATGACATAGGATAACATTATTGATAATGGCCAGAGAATGTCTGCATACAGTTTATAATTTGAAAATAATAGTGAACAGTGAACATGTAATACTTTACTTACATAACTCATAAATGTTCTTCTAATCCATGATTTAAAGATTCTAAGGAAAACAAAAGTGTTAACTGAGAGTGGCTGGGATGGTTTTTCATTATTCCAGAAGACTGGGCTATAAACATTATGCCCAAATCTATGCTATATTTTCTAGGCAGCTAATATTCAAAGCATGAAAAAAATATTAAGAGATAAAACTTCTCAGCCTTGATCTTTATTTCAGTAATTAAAAACACTTAAGGGACCCCTGGGTGGCTCAGTGGTTGAGCATCTGCCTTTGGTTCAGGTCATGATCCTGGGGTTCTGGGATTGAGTCCCACATTAGGTTCCCCACAGGGAGCCTGCTTCTCCCTCTGCCTGTGTCTTTGCCTCTCTCTCTCTGGGTCTCTCATGAATAAGTAAAATCTTAAAAAAAAAAAAAAAAAAAAACACTTAAGAGAGAAAAAAATGCCACAGTCCCACTTTCCTGTATAAGAAGAATCCAATTTTAGTAGCCTAAAAAACTAATTTTTGCAGATTATGTACACATCTTAGGCCTACCTCATAGCAAACAAAATGGTGTATTATACTATTTTTTAAAATTTTGTACATACATAAAGCAATGGCTTATTTGGATGTACAATGTGCATAAAGACAAGCAAATTGGGAAAGGCACAAGATGGAACATAAAGAACTTTTTTTTTAGTTGGTTTTGGAAAAAAAACATAAATGGAAATTGATACATCATGCTTTAAAATGATATTAATTTAAACTTAAGATATACTTAAACCCTAGTCTAGCTACTATAAAAAACTCTATCAGTTGCTATACTTTTCAAATGATAGATTTGTGATGGACAGAGGAAACACAAGAGTATTTCCTAGCAATCAGTGATCGGGCAATCCTCTATGAAACTCTAAGAGACCTGTCAGTTAGGGGAGATGGAGAAGTACTAGGATGTTGGGGATGAAAATAACCCTATAAGCTGAGACACAGTTATTATCTCAGCACTTTATATTCTGTCTTTACCCAATCTGACATGAGTATAAAACTTCTAATAATAACGTGAAAGCCCATTAATAAGTTTATCTAGTTTTCTTTGAATATTAAATCCCTCTGTAATAAAAAGTCAAATACAAACAGCTTCTGAAAATAATAAATCAAAAGTATACAGAATATATTACATGAGTTCTCATTAGAGTATTTTAAAACTAGTTCATCATAACTTAAGCAAGATTAATGGAACACCTGATCTCCTGAATGGCTATAAATTAAATGGTGTGATTTGGTTAGTGCAGTTTCAACAATCTTCCAGAGTAGTTACTTTTTCCTTTGGCCAATTACCAATAATTCCTGCCTAATTGGAAGAACAAGAAAGAAAAAGGAAAAAAAAAATTATAATGAAACCAAAAGCAACCAATGACAAGCAATATGGTTCACTTGCTTAAACGGATATGAGACATTCAACTGAATTTTCCCATCATCCATATCTAGAACTGGCTCCTTAGAATATGTATAAAATGTATTTTTTATCAAGTCCTTACAATACTTCTGCTCTCCTATATGAGTACTGTCCAAATTCTACACTGCAGCCTTCCTCAAGCTCTCAAATGAGTAAACATAAACAGATGGCCACCCTTTACCTTTAAGTGTGAGATGGTCATTAGAGCAATGATGTCCTAGATTATCAAACAATGGCAGCAATCTGC